GCGTCGACGTTCATTTCCCTATAATCTTTGAAGGAGCTGGTATGTAAAAGAAAGGGGAGAGAAGAATGTAAGAAAAATTGTACGCACTCATCGAACGAATAAAGAAAGAAGGGAAAGATCAAGGCCGACCTGGAGTCTTGTTAGCCTTCCTTGCTTTCGAAGGACCTCCTCTTCGGCTCATTTTCTTTGGTTTTGAGGAAGGGCGACGAACAGGATCTTCTTCGTTGGGCCAGGTATACGGGCACAAAGCTAGAATCTTCTTAACGTCGTCGCGAAGTTTCTCAAGATACGGGTCCAAGATCTTGGGACAACGAACTACAAGAGGAAAAGAAACGAGAAAAGCAAGTTAGATAGATAATCAGTTAACAAGGGATCGACCTCGGAGGGATAAGCAAACTACCGGGTGAAATAGTCCACCCATGGTAATTCGTGACGACCACGTCCCCAGCGGAATCGTTGTCGATCTTAACAAAGAAGTACCAACGAAGCCAATCGTTGGTCTTACTCTTCGCACCAACAACCAACTTTGGGGTCAGCGAAGACTGAGTATACACCAAGCCCGGCTTGGATTTCCCGAAATTCTTCTTCGTCGTCAATTCCTCGTACAGAGAACAACGAGGTTCGACGCCGCACTGCTCAGCCAAACGAATCAGGCCGTAAGCATTCCGAATAGCAGCCGGAGAAAGTTGCGCAAACGCCATTTTTCGCCGCGAAGCGTATTGAAGCAAGAACGCCGGAATTGGGAAAGTCAGCCCACAGTCAGTGATGAGCTTTTCATATACACAAAGATATCCAGGCAGAGCAGTCCAGGGACGATCCCACGGGTTCGGGATGAGCGTATTTAGGGAAGCTGGAGCATCGCAAAAATGGAGAGAAAGCTCAATCGTCTCGCTCGTCGACGACGTCGGTTGAAGGTAATCTAGAATTCCCGATGCTGGTCCGCCAGGCCGAACAAACCCAACCGGGGCGGGCGCCCGCCTCGTCAATGGAATGATGTCCAAACGATCGGCGACATCAGACGACGGGCCAACGGAACGAGCCGCTTTAATGATAGAAGATTTGCGTCTGATGAGCGGTACGTTATCCTCATCTATAGACGCCGCGTCACTGTCGTCATCGCGAAGGTACATGGTTGTAACGGACTTAGGATTTGCACTCGGTCCGGCTGCTCCCACGCGACTTTCGAGCTTGCGACGTCGTAACTCTGTAACAGCCGGAGAGTCTCTGGCGACGGACGAGGCCGACGATCTGGAAGAGGTTCTAGATCTACGACCCCGGGAATTGCTGACAGATTCGTTGAGAAAACGGTCAACAGACCGGATATTCGACTCGTCGGAAGTACGAGATTGGCGATGGTCGGAGACGGAGTCGAAAGAACCGACACTTGAAGACATAATCGGAAAATAAGAAAAGACGCGCTGATAAAAGGAGAGAGAACAGAGAGAATACCTTCGAAATCGATGCGGAGAAAGAATGAAAGGAATGAGGAGGAAGCGAAGTATTTATAGAGGGAGTCGGTCGAAGAAAAACCACGCCATCATTGCGTCTCGAAGAACGGCGTAATCATCACACCTTTGTCGCCTGCAACACGCGAACGACCCGTTTGTCGATGCCTCGGGAGCGGCAGTAGACGAATCAGAAGAGAGCGTCCATCACACGCGCCTCAAAAATACGCGAATGAAGTGGAAGCGAGAACGGCGAAATGATTGCAATCCTAGCCGCGTCATCACTACGCACTAGGGTTGGGGGGCTACTGTTGATGGTGGGTTTTGGGCTCGAGCCCAAACCCCTTAACGGGCCAAAACCCTTCAACAAGCCCATGCTTCCCTGTGGCCCAGCAGAAGCCAAAGAAAGGCCCAATACAGTTTTCCACCGACCAAAGGGGCAAAAAGGATATTTCGCATGAACAGTGTACCCTACTTTTGCATCCTATAAATAGCAAAAAAGAATGAT